TATATCTGGAGAGGTTATTTGTTTTTGTTTTTTAAATAGAGATGAGGTCTCACTATGTTGCCCAGGCTGCTCTTGAACTCCTGAGGTCAAGTGGTCCTCTGTCCTCAGCCTCCAAAGGGCTAAGATTACAGGCGTGAGCCACCGCACCCCGCCTCCAAATTCTAGTCTTAACATCTGAACTTTGATATCTAGTAAGCAATCATGTTTCTTCCAAATTTGTTCCTCCCGCAGGCTTCCCCCTCTCATATATAACTCCATGCCTTCATCTTTGACTCCACCCCACATCCAATCCTGTCCATCTTTGTTTCAGATTATATTCAGAATCCCACCACTTTCTCACTGAGCTGCTGCAAAAGCAATTAATGCTGTCATGGAAATTAGAAAAAGGGACTGGGTCCGCTAGCTCACACCTGTAATCCCAGCACTTTGGGAGGCTGAAGTGGGCAGATCACTTGAGGTCAGGAGTTCAAGACCAGCCTGGCCAACATGGTGAAGCCCCATTTCTACTAAAAATACAGAATTAGCCAGGCGTGGTGGTGCATGCTTGTAGTCCCAGCTACTCCAGAGGTTGAGGTAGGAGGATTGCTTGAACCCAGAAGGTCAAGGCTGCAGTGAGTCATGATCATACCACTGCACTCCAGCCTGGAGGACAGACTGAGGCCCTGTCTCAAAAATAATTAAGTGAATAAATAATTAAGTGATCAGTAAAAATCTGATCAGTCTCTGCCCAAAAACCTGTAAAAGCTTCCTACCTCAATCACTGAAAAATCCCTTACCTTGGCCTACAAGGCCTGTGTTGTACAGGCCTCCTTGACTTTCTCTGCTTCTCCTCTCCCCCTTGCTGCCACTCAGGGGCCTCCATGCTGTGCATTTAACAGGCCAAGCATGCCTGGCCCCGGGGTGTTTTTCAGTGCTGTGGACAGCCTTCCCGTGAACTTGCTGTCCTCTCTGCCTGGAATGTTCTTCAATCAGCTCTTTGCATGGCTGCCTCCCTCACCTTCTTTAGGTCTTCACTCAAGTCACCTCATCAGTAAAGCTTCCCCTGACAACCGTCTCTAAAACCACAACTCCACATCCCAGCTTTCCATCCCCTTTTCTGCTTATTTTTCTACATAGTGCTAATTCACATGTAATATAGCATACCTTTTACTTATTTATTTTTACTTTTTTTTTTAGATGAAGTCTCTCTCTGTCACCCAGGCTGGAGTGCAATGGCACGATCTCAGCTCACTGCAACCTCTGCCTCCTGGGTTCAAGTGATTCTCCTGCCTCAGCCTCCTGAGTAGCTGTGACTACAGGCACACGCCACCACGCCCAGCTAATTCTTGTATTTTTAGTAGAGGCAGGGTTTCGCCTTATTGGTCAGGCTGGTCTCCAACTCCTGACCTCATGATCTGCCCGCCTTGGCCTCCTAAAGTGCTGGGATTACAGGCGTGAGCCACTGTGCCCGGCATTATTTTATTTATTGTCTGTCTTCCCCCTCTAAAAATGTAAATTGTATTAAGAGAGGGTTTTTTTATTGTGGTAAAATTATACATAACATAAAATTGACCATTTTAACCATTTTCAAGTATACAGTCCAGCAGTATTAAGTACATTCACGTTGTTATACCTTCACCAACACCACTACGCATCTCCAGAACTTTTGCATCCTCCCAAACTGGAACTCTATACCCATTAAACATTAACTCTCCATTTTCCCCTTCTCTAGCCCCTTACAATCTCCTGTAGTACTTTCTGTCTCTATGAATTTGATTACTGTAAGCACCTCATAGAAATGGAATCATACAATGTTTGTCTTTTTTTTTTTTT